ATGGAAAACCTCTTTGATTATTAACTTTTTAAAAAAACTCATCATTTTGTAATGATTAATCACCGAGAAAATTACAAAAATTGATATTTCACATGTGTGCCAATAACTTCTAAATTAGTTGAAATTTTGTAGTTTTTTTGACACCAATTAACTTCCAAGAACATTCTACATAGAAATAATCTTCTAAAATTACAAATCATATTTGAAATTTTGCATAGAAAAGCGGTTAAAGCAAAATTTCACGATTTTTTGTAGTGATTTCAATCACAATTTTAGAATAAACAACCAACCCATTTTTTTTTTAATTTTTTACTTAAAAATTAACCTAATTTTGAGTAGATTAAACTTGTGTTTGAATTGGGTTCGTCGCTTATGTCGGAATCATTGAAATCGCCAACAAAAATCTCATTTTTTCACGTTTTTGACACTGAATCGTTTCTTAATCCTCATTTCATTGAATCAGAATCTGTGCCACACACAAGCGCCATAAATCAGACCCTCGCCACACCTTTTCCATAATAATCCCAAGTTCGAATCTCGTTACAGTGACCATAACTCTCCAAGGCTATTTTAGCACTTAATTAGGCCCTGAGCCATATCAGAAATTGTTGCACTTGGTGGCCGTTATAAATCCCAATGGAATGTTCCACGTTTTACTCCTTTTACCAACTCGAGGAATTTTGATTAGAGAAGAAAAACAAGACACTGATGAAAAAAAAGCGAATTTTCTAAGCCCACCCTGTCATCGCACAAATATGCAAATTTCCCACACACGTGCACACTTAGGAGGGGAAAAAGACAGCAGCCCATCTGTCGGGATTATAGTAATAAATAGCGAGCTAACATTTCTCTGTTGCAATTAGGAATTTCAAAATAAAAGACAAGTGAAAGACGAAAAAAAGACAAACATGGTGGATAGTGCATAGCACTAGAGATGAAGTATAGCAGTGTGCCATGACAAGCGGATGTTGTACTCGAGACTTGTTTTTTCCACGGCTTGCTGAGAGCAATGGTACACAGAGACGTGCATCCGGCGATCATGACGTAAAATCGCGGCGAAAAATCAAGGTTTTGACGAAAAAAACTAATTTTTTGTGGTGACTTTAATGCCAACTCGACAACAAGCGACGAACCCAATTTATAACCAAGTCAAATTTTTATTCCAGAATCGAGTAAATTATCAATAAAATTGTTAAAAGTGTTTAATGTGACATAAAAACTTCTAACAAAACTTTAAAATCCGTGTCAAATAATTTTAATATACATTTTACGAGTGATTTCAATCATATTTTGAGAATAAGCGACAAACCCATTAATTTTTCTAGTTTTTTTATAAATTTTTTTTGCATTCAGATACAAAACAAGTTTTGTGATTTTTCGACAACATCAGTGAAATAATTACGGCCAATTAGTGCAAATTTTTATTGGCCAAATTACAAGAAAAACTAATTACTTTAATTAAGTTACTCAACGGAAGAAATCCTCTCAATTACCAGAGAAATTCATAGGATTTTCAGGCGTTTTTGCCACTCCTTGAACACAATTTCCTTCAATTGTGACTCCGGTTTTTCAGTTTTTAGTTGCTTAAGTCTCCGGGTTTCAAAGACTAAAAATGATGCTTTTTTCGTTTAACAAAAAAAAACTCATTATTCTGTAATGCTTAGTCAACGAGAAAATCACAAAAATTGATATTTCAGATGTGTGCTTTTAAACTAGTTGAAATTTTGTAGTTTTCTTGACATCAATCAACCTCCAGGAACATTCTACATAGAAATAATTTTAAAAAATTACAAATATAATTTGGAATTTTGCCTAGAGAAGCGATTAAAGCAAAATTTTTCAATTTTTTGTAGTGATTTTAATCACAGTTTTAGAATAAGCGACGAACCCATTTTTTAACAATTTTTTACTCCAAAATTATTTATTGTAAAAAAGTTAATTAAACACAAATAGAAAGCCTTTTTGATTATCTTTTTAACAAAAAAAAACTTATTATTTTATGATGCTTAGTCACTGAAAAAATTACAAAAATTGATTTTTCAGATGTGTGCCAATAACTTTTAAACTAGTTAAAATTTTGTAGTTTTCTTGACATCAATCAACTTCCAGGAACATTCTACATAGAAATAATTCTTAAAAATTACAAATTTCATCCGGAATTTTGCCTAGAGAAGAGTTTAAGCAAAATTTTCCGATTTTTTGTAGTGATTTCAATCACAATTTTAGAATAAGCGACCAACCCATTATTTTACAATTTTTTACTCCAAAATTATTTAATGTAAAAAATTAATTAGACACAAATAGAAAACCTATTTGATTATCTTTCTAACAAAAAAAACTCATCATTTTGTAATGCTTAGTCACCGAGAAAATCGCAAAAATTGATATTTCAGATGTGTGCCAATAACATTTAAACTAGTTAAAATTTTGTAGTTTTCTTGACATCCATCAACTTCCAAGAACATTCTACATAGAAATAATCTCAAAAAATTAAAAATTTGATTCGGAATTTTGCATAGAAAAGCGGTTAAAGCAAAATTTTCCGATTTTTTCTAGTAATTTCAATCAAAATTTTAGAATAAGCGAAGAACTTATTTTTAACAATTTTTTACTTCAAAAGTATTTAATGTAGAAAAATTGAATTAAACACAAGTAGAAAGCCTCTTTGATTATCTTTATAACAAAAAAACTCATCATTTTGTAATGCTTAGTCACCCAGAAAATGACAAAAATTGATATTTCAGATGTATGCCAATAACTTCTAAACTAGTAGAAATTTTGTAGTTTTTTTGACATCAATTAACTTACAAGAACATTCTACATAGAAATAATCTCAAAAAATTACAAATTTGATCCGGAATTTTGCCTAGAGAAGAGTTTAAGCAAAATTTTCCGATTTTTTGTAGTGATTTCAATCACAATTTTAGAATAAGCGACGAACCCATTTTTTAACAATTTTTTACTCCAAAATTATTTAATGTAAAAAATTTAATTAAACACAAATAGAAAGGCTCATTAATTATCTTTCTAACAAAAAAAACTCATCATTCTGTAATAAATAGTCCCCGAGAAAATCACAAAAATTCAATCAAATTTTGAGAATAAGCGACAAACGCATTAATTTTTCAAGTTTTTTCATAAATCTTTCAGTCAAACTCGTCCATCCATATCAGGAAACATGAATTTGCATTTAGATAACAAACATACAAAACAAGTTTAGTGATTTTTTGACAACATCCAATTAGTGCAAATTTTTATTGACCAAATTACAAGAAAGTTAAGTTACTCAAGAGAGAAATTCATGGGATTTTCAGGCGCTTTTTGCCACTCCTTGAACACAATTTCCTTCAATTGCGACAACTTCAGCTGCGGTTTTTCAGTTTTCAGTTGCTTGAGTCTCCGACTTTCAAAGGCCAAAAACGCGGCTTTTCTCCGTTTTTCCGGGTGTTTGTCGACTCCGGGTGCGTCATCGAGAATTTTAATTGCCTCGTCGACACTCCGGGCACTTGCACCGTCGACAATCCGGTTGCAGTTTTCCGGTAAAGTCAATTTGACACTTGGCCGCGAATTCGACCCGATTTGGGCCCGTGTGAGTTTTGCAACTCTCCCAGACTTCAATAAACCATCTTCCTGCTCCAACAACAACTTATTTTCGGCTTTCCTCGTCGCAATTTCTTGTTGTTTTGACAATTTTTCTTCTCGTCTTTGTTGTTTTCTTCTGACAATTTTATCGTCATCTTGCCACGAATCTTTGTCAACAGCTTGGGGTTTCATTGATTTTTTCGGCATTTTTTTGACAATATAACCTCAAAAATGACAAGTCTAGGTATTGCGATTTTAATAGAAATGAAACGTGTCAAGGGCCACTTTGGAAGAATTTTAAGAGTCTTAGTGACTTTCTTCGACTTGGTTGAACCTCGAGTAGAGATTTAGTGTGAAAGTTTAGCTCAGTTCATGAGAATCCTTTGACCTTTCGTTTTTATAACCTGATAAGAGTTGAGACGCGCGAAAATCGATTGCAAGAAACTTATCGCGTTGGTGGTACGTATTAAAACCGATTTAACAGGTTTACAAGAAATCTAGGCTAATTTGTCGTTTTAATAGCACCTAAAGGAATAAGTTGGTATTGAGGCTCAATGGTCTAGGGGTATGATTCTCGCTTTGGGTGCGAGAGGTCCCGGGTTCAAATCCCGGTTGAGCCCACTTTTTTTCCATTCAAACAATACGCAATTAAGTTTTTTTTATCATAAAGAGAAAATTTATTTAATTGCCTTGTGTTAAATGACAAAAAGCGTTAATTATAAAAAATTTGGTTACCAAATTGGCAATGAAAAAAAAATAGTTCCAGAATTGGCTCTGGAAATTAAAAGTTTGCACTCATGAAATATTAATTTTGAATTGAAATTTCAGACTTCAGGGCCGTTCACGGTCGAGTACTGCCCTTTAAAGCAAAGAATGCAGCCGTTACACAATCATTATTTAATATAATAACTCGTAAAGAATGTCGCCGGTTTAATAAACGACAAGAATGCAATCGTTGCATAACTCGTAATTAATTCCGAGAATTTAGCAATTATTCGCATCTCTAACTTTGACTAAAACACAATTTCTTGCTCAAAATGAAAATGCCAATGGTTGCCACATGGTGTAAATGTCAATTGGCGCTTCCGGCTGTGGTATTTGACCCATTAAATGGCAACTAAAGTCGCTGGCGACATCTAGGAGAGAGTAGCGAAACTGCGGGCTTTTAAACTGTGATGAAACAAAAAATACACCACAAAAAATTTTCTCAAAATAAAAAAAGCAAGAATTTTTGCAATGTAAACAACCCAAAATACAGGAACAAGTTTCAATAGTTGCAAACCTAATTATTTATTAACAAATATCGGTAGTTTACATGATTGAATTAGCAAAAAAATATTAAATTATTTTTGGTTAGAATGTAGTAAAATGTGATTAAATTAATTTAGCACAATTTTTTTAATTAATAAATTTCCATAAAAACACTGAATTTTATTTTTTCATTGTTTTTTAGTGTGCGTTATGCAACCAACAATATACATGTTAAAAAATTCAAGTAAAAACTTAAAATGTCTTACAAAACACTTTTTTGTTTTAAGTGTTATTTAAAATAATGTTTTTAATAAACACAAATTTTCCCAAAAAAAATATTAAAAGGTTTGCGACTTGGCTAATTTTTATTATAATTGTTTTATTTTACTTTATTTTTTGCATTCTAATTTTTTAGAACAATAATCAATAACAGGTAATGTTTTTGTATAAATAAATATAGCGTTAGAGAAGCTAAATACGTTGAATCTTTATTTTTTTATAAATTATAATGGGTTATGCAACCAACAACACAACTTGTAAAAAAATGCTAAAAACGGTTTTTTTTAATAAAACTTTTTTTTGGTAGAGATATAGTTAAATTTTAATTAAATTGATTTAACACAAAATTTTTACATAAAAATGTTTGCATAAATACACTGAATTTTATTATTATTGTTTTTTAGTGTGCATTATGCAACCAACAATATACATGTTAAAAAAATGGAATAAAAACTTTAAAAAAATTACAAAACTATTTTTTGGCTGACCTATTAAATGGCAACTAAAGTCGCTAGCGACATCTAAGAGACTGTAGCAAAACTGTGTGCTTTTAATCAAATTGTGACGCAACCAAAAATACACAACAAGAAATTTCCTCAAATAAAGGCAAACTTTTTTTTAATTTCCACAATGTAGATAACCCAAAATACAGCAACAAGTTTCAATTATTTATTAATAAATATTAAAAATAACCATTATTGATTTAGCAAAAAAATTCCAAAATTGGTAAAACCGATGTTTTCTAATTATCAGTGCCATCTGCTGCGCAAATTGCGGTCACCGTTCGAATCACCAAATCGAATGTGTGCCAAATTTCGAGGTTACCTCGGAAAAAAATCAAAGAATGCCATGTTAGAATTTCTCGAGGTCATACCAAGCAACTCGCATCAAGGTACACGCACTCCCACCTCGCCACTCTCCCCTTGACCCCCCACTCATCGCATTCCCAAGTTACGTGTCCTGCCCGACTACGTGGATACGCGGTCGTTGAAATCACCGATAGTCACTTGTTTGTTGTAAAAAACCCCAAAAATCAACCCTTCGGTGTGACAAGTGAATGTGGAAAAGTGACAAGTGACAAATACCCCAACTACTGCGATTCAAAATCGAAAAATAGTGATGGTGTGTGAAATTAGTGTGGAATTTAGGTGTGGAAAAGCCATTGATTGAATGATCGGTCCGAGAGTAAGTTCATGATTTCATAGCCACTTTGATTTTGTGTGGGAAAGCAATTTTTCTCGAATTAATTATTGTTAATTTCGAAGAAACAATGCAAGTGAACGAACTTTGATGATTACAATACAATGGGAAGTGGAGGTTTGTTCCTGTGGTACTCGGAGATGATTTTTCACTTAACACGTGACACAAAAATGGCGATGATTCGATCGATCTATAGTGTGGCTCTAAAAATTGGGACGACATCTTGACATGGAAATTAGGTTAGATTGATACAGTTAACACTCATTTCAATACTACTGCACTCGCCAACTTTGATTTTTGATTCAAAATTTCGCATTGATTTTGTAGTACACTGTACTTTTTCAAATTTGAAACTTAATAACTAGTTTTTTTTAAGAACAAACATGTTGTTTTCTTTCCAAGTATGCAATTAAATATAAACAATTCAAGTTCACTGTTTTATTTGACCTTTTGTCAATGTTATTTATACAGGGTGTTCCGTATAAACTCCACATTGGAAGTATTGAGAGTTCAAATAATCGTATTTATTTGAAAATTGGTACATAGTCATAATCCATTAAGTCCTCCCACATGAAAATATTTTCAAGATGGCGGCACGTCCGGTTATACCGGAAGTCGGTCTCAACTTTCTTATTTTAAATGGAAAGGTATATTTTTTAGTGCGTTTTTGGATTAACCGGGTTATTTTAAGGGAGTTTTCATCAGCTTTCCCTATACCTAAATTTAGCCGTTTTTGAAATATTTGGAGTTTTTCAAAAAATTTTGGATTTGCACCTTACACTTTAAAAATCGGTAACTCTGCCATTTTTTTAAATTTTGGATTCGTTTTTTGGCGTTTGAAAGAGAAAGCTTAGATCTTTCTTCTAGTGTTTTCAAATTTTAAAAAGAAAATTACCAAATCCCAAAATTTTAAGTAGTTTTGTAATAATTCAAACACCCATAACTCAATTTTTCTATATGAAGTACCCAAATTTTTATTTTACTAAATGGAAGAGAATTTAATTCTGACATTCCCTATACCTAAATTTAATGATTTTTAAGTTATGGTGATTATTTGTTTAGACTGCGACTAGCCAAATTATTACAAAAGTAACCTTAAAATTTTGGGGTTTTTTAATTTTTTTTCAAAATTTGAAAACTCCCAGAAGGAAGATCTAAGCCTTCTCTTTCAAACGCCAGAAAACGAATCCAAAATTTTAAAGAATGGCAGAGTTACCGATTTTTAAATTGCAAGGTGCAGATCCAAAATTTTTTAAAAAACCCTAAATATTTCATAATCGGCTAAATTTAGGTATAGGGAAAGCTAATGAAAACTTCCTTAAAATAACTCGATTAATCCAAAAACGCAATAAAAATATAGCTTTCCACTTAAAATAAGAAAGTTGAGACCGACTTCCGGTATAACCGGACGTGCCGCCATCTTGAAAATATTTTCATTAGAGAGGAGTTAATGGATTATGGCTATGTACCAATTTTCAAATAAATACAATCATTCGAACTAAATGAATAAATTATTTATGAATGTATTGTTTTCTACATTTTCACATTTTTTACTTAATTTCAAAGCCACGAAATAGAAAAGAACTAAAACTCTAGAAAGTAGTAAAAAAAATAATTGATTTGTCATGGTATATGGATGATAATTCATTTGCGTGCAATTCGTTACACAACAACTTTTTCATCCCACATTTACCAAGATGAGGAATGATGTGAGCTAATATACAGGATGTTTCATAAAAGAACTTCAAACTCACACAAAATCTTCTTATAATTGAGTAAATTACCCATGAATTTTCCCATAATTTTAATTCAATCAGAAATAGTTGTTTCAAGTGTGTCTCTAAAACTTGCCCCACCCGGTACATCCCCTAATTGCTTAGCAACACTACTACCAACCAACAAACAAAAATTTTTTAGGGACCCTCCGAAATGACGGAATCGACTCCGATCTGTCGATGCCGTGTCCTCTACTTGGGCAGTTCGGTCCCCCAACAGACCAAAGACGGTCTCCAGGGCATCCAGGAGCCCCTCCAGGAGCTCTACCCCGACCAGGGGGCCACGGGGGCGCGAGGCATCGACAGCTGGTTGAGCGTCTGGTCCAACGGCATTCTCCTCGAAAACGTCGACGAGAACCACAAGAAAATCACCAGATTTTTCCCCATCGAAAGTCTGCATTATTGCGCCGCTGTCAGGTGAGGAAAGTTATTACACACCCCTGGGGCCCACCATATTAATTCTTAAAAAAAACTATACTTGTTTTCATATTAATGTGCATCCAAGTCGGGATCAGTTTAAGGTGGCAACCATGCAAAATTCAAACAATCCTAACCTCAAATAAATAAATGTGTACCACAGGTAGCAAAAAAATAATTAAAATTAACAAACTTAAAGATATTTGTCATTAAATTTGGATTGAATGACATTTGACACTTTTTGTGTGAATCGGCCTTTAAATTAAAGATGCATTTAGACTTCTACAGCCTACTTGATGCACATTAATATGAAAAAGAGTATAAATATTGACGCAACTTTCGGCCATGAAATAAATAAATAAACAAAGTTGGCAACAAACAATGTTGCCAAATTAAGATTCCGCGGCCTACTTGGACCCAAAAATTTTAAGTCAGGGGTCACTTTGATCGAACTTTCATTCATTTCTATGCATTGTTGGCACTGAAAAACAATAGAATTTATTGACCACATCCTGTAATTGAAAATAGATAAGTAGAAACTTTCTCTCCTTTATCCGCGTTCCTTATGAAAAAAACTTGAAATAAACAATTTATGATGTAATTGAGGATGGGCTTGTGATGTCAACATTTATTATTGGAGTCAAGACGAGTTTTATCCTTGATTTTATTCAAAAAGCGGAAATAATTATCCAATTTCGCCTAATTTGTGCGAAAATCCGTTTTTTTTCGTCGGAATGCAGCCACGCCTTTAGCTCCCGTTAATTTTCGTGGCTGTGTGTGGACACCTTTATTGGAAGAATGTCGACTTGTTACCTTGGGAAATACCGCTAATATCGGTTGGTTTTGATTTTTTTCATGATGAGGTCGCGACAGGCTTGCCAACAACAATAAAAGTTTTGAAGAAAATTGAAAATTTTGACTTTTGAAGAATCTCAAATGAGTGGTTTTGTAACAATTCATTATTCGTACGTTGCAAGCGATACATTATTTATTATTATTACCTTGAGAAGGCTTCTTTGTTATTATTTTACAGGAAAAGAGATGAAGTCTCGTTAAAATTCTTCGACTTGAGTTTACTTATTTATTTTCTCGGGTTTTATGCTAATTTTTCCTCTTGTCGAGGAGGTTCAGATTCCACTCGTAGTGAAAGAATTCACTCATTAATCACTTTTTTATTTCACAATTTTTTAGCTGAGTATGCAATCAACAATACATATATTTGAAAACGACTAGAATCTTTTACAAAATTATTTTTGGGTTAGGATGTAATTAAAATTTAATTAAAACAATCTAAAATAAGATCTTTGAATAAAAAATTTGCATAAACACATTGTAATTCTATTTTTTCATTGTTTTTTAGTGTGCGTTATGCAACCAACAATATATATGTTAAATTTTTGAATAAAAACTTTTTTATATAACAATTTTTTGGTTCAAAATAATGTCTAACAAACACAAATCTGACAAAACATTTCTCGAAAAGGAACTTGGGATAAATCAAACAAAAGCTTGTGATTTATTTTCGTTTATTTAAATTGTAGGAACAAAAATACATTCACTCATAAATCATTTTTTATTTCACAATTTTTTCAGATATGAAATTTATGCCAAAATTATTTTTGGTTAGGATGTAGTAAAATTTAATTAAATTAATTTAGCACAAATTTTTTTAATTAAAAAATTTGCATAAATACACCGAATTTTATTTTTTCATTGTTTTTTTAGTGTGCGTTATACAATCAACAATCTTAAAAAATTGAATAAAAACTCTAAAATGTTTTACGAAATATTTTTTTGGTTTACTTGTTATTT